CCATTTTAACAGATATACAAAAAAAGTAATTTTGGTTTCAGCAAGTGTATTTATATTACTTTATATAATTACCACAGTGGTCAACAGCATGAACCAGTTCAGGTGCAGCTACATCCTGCTTGTATGTGCAAGAAAGGTGCATAAAGTAGGTACCACTCTGAAAATATTTGCCCTGCATTTTTATGATTTGAAGGATGGTTTGGGAATGAAATAACTAAATACCACGGGGTATTATGTGATGACACCCAACTCAGGAATCTCAGCTCCTCTTCACTCAGAAGAGCTTGATGCACTTTGCTTTTCCTGTACATGCATCACCCCCCCCCCCCTCCCCCTTCCTGTTAAGTTGATAAAGCATGTGCTGTTGAACAAAGCATGGTGTTTCATTTGGTTTCTGTTCTGTTTCCCCTCTAGTCTAAAAGATCCTATGAGCAGCGCTGCAGGGAGGCAGATGAGGCAGAGCAAACCGCCGAGAAGATGGGCAACACGCCCACAGCCACTCCCAAACAGATTGAGAAGGTACGTCTGTACTGTGGTATGACACATCAAAGGTCCAATGTAATGGTTTCAATTGTTTGTTCATTTAATTTGACGTAACTACATTAGCTGGGGTAGGGGGTTTCTTGGCACAGAAGAAGACATTGTTTGTTCTCTTAAGAATAAGTCCAACCAATGAATCTAAGGCATATGAATCTATGCTGCTGAATAATAATTAGTGTCTGATATGTTTGTTTTTTTCTTTTTAAATCTTAAAATTAAATCTACTCCTTCCCCAAGATATCTACTACTTCACTGAAAGGTCCATTCTCAGCATACAGTAGTTTCCACATCACTCGTGTGTAAGTTGAATATTGGACCACAGTTGGCTTCCAAACTAGCTTTGATGTCACAACAACATCATGCTTGTTCGTAAATGTTTTAAACTCAGATTAAAGATAAGCACAGAGAGAAATGTTTCCCCCTTCAGCAAATTCATTTGGAAACAGTCCTCTAGTGGTGATGGCGATGGTGCAATGGATAAGACTATGCCTTTGGTGTGGTGTCAGGTTCAATCCCCCACTGTGACCCATCTACCATTGTGTCCCTGAGCAAGACACTTAACCCCTAGTTGCTCCACACACACGACCTATGTAGCAATTGTAAGTTGCTTTGGATTTAAATGTAGTGTCAAACTGTGCACAGGCATCATTCTGCACAGTGAAGATCAAACATCCAACTGAAGTTACAATAACAGTGTCTCAGCGTTTTGTCTATCATAACTGTCTCTGGCATTTGAGAGTCTACTGGGCACCTCCTTAACAATGCATGCTATTAACAAATGCAAACATAAAATGTTGATATGTTGCTGTTGTTGGCAACCAGAGGGATAGATAATCAGCACTCTCTTTACCCATGACTATATTATGTAATTTAAGTCATAATATGTTTAATACGAGTTTGTTTTACACTTTCTATTCTACAAAGGTGATATCGGAAAACATAAACTTTCCTATAAAGACAATGCGTCATTTTGTGTTCTCTTCTCAGATGAACAGCAAATCCAGACAGTGCAGAGAAGCTGCACAAGAGGCTGGTAAGGACAAACAATAAGTCAAGTGAAATGCTGTGTCTTGGCCGTGCAGACTAGTGTTTTATGCAGGAAGCCGCTATGGTTTACCAGAAACATTTTTTAAATGATGGTGGTCATGTTTACTTCCCCTTTATTGAGGAGTCCAAAAATAGGTTAAAATGCAATATTTAAATCCCTACCCCAAACCACACACTGTTGGTTTTTTATGTTATGTGTAAAGTTTTTACACTTAACTCTTGTCTTGGCTTGTCTTCAGAGAAACAGTACATGTCAAACATTGAACAACTTGACAACACTCGTCAAGAATGGGAGTCAACGCACATCAACACATGTGAGGTAAAGTATCGTGCTGGAAGCTGTATTTCTCTTAACATATTTATCAAGTGAGGAAAGCACACTACAGCTTGATACATTTTGAAATGTACAGACTAAGACCAAGCTTGGCAATACTGGAGGCCTGTTTTGCCAATGAGGATGTGTAACACTTCCTACAATCAGGCTATGGAGTGAGTCACTAATCTACGAACATGTTTCCTGGCAACAAATCTTCCTACATGTGATAACATCAACAAAGTTTATGCCAGTCAACTACTTTATTCATCCCTATTTAAAAGGGTCAATTGCAGGCAGAGGCTTGCAATACAGGACAGCTCGCGCACACACAAAAAAGAAACAATTACAATCATATTTGAAAAGATCATCAAAAAAGCGCTCAAATGACAGCTATGAACCTCTGATTGCAGAGCATGCTGGACGCTTTTGTTGTGCAAGAGGTTGCCTGTTGCATCACTATATTTTAGTTCTGTAATTCTATTGCTCTGTAAAATGTGCTGCGCTTCTGTGTTTTCCAGATTGCTTACTTTTTTTTCTCCATCACACTGTTTTGCAGATGTTTCAGCAACAAGAAGAAGACCGCCTCAATGTGCTAAGGAATGCTTTGTGGGTGCACTGTAATCACTTATCAATGCAGAGTGTAAAAGATGACGAGGTGCGTGCAGCTGTTCTTACACAACTCTATGGGGACAGTCCCTTAGCAAGCCCTTGAAGTATACAGTACTGTATATTTAAAGTTCATTCTACACAAACTGCTCTTTCAGTGTTACGAGGATGTGAGGAAAGCACTGGAAAACTGTGACATCGTCACAGACATCAATTACTTTGTGGACACGAAAGGAACTGGCTCAACCCCACCAGGTAGGAACCGGCTCTGCAGCCTTCCTGATTTGGATTTGAATATGTTCAAGTTGGAAATTTTAATATTATCTCTAAGCCGCTAGTAAAACATACAGCAGAATGTTTGGCACGAATAAAAACAGGTGATTATGAAACCCTGAAACACACTGAAGATTTTTTGACTGAATTTGACAGCTCCAATTCAATACCAAAATTACTACGAGAACGATGGCACAGCTGACAGAAATGGCAGCGTTGGCTTTGTAGGAGTCATGAAAAGGTCAGAATGGCACAGTGGAAAGCGCTGTTACTAAATGAATGATGATTGTTACATCATGTTTTCTTTCCCTTCAATACATGTTTGTGTATTGCTTACTGAGTGCTTTTCCCAATTTGTAGGTTTTCAAATCTTCTGCAGGTGAACTGTTCCAGTGGCTCCAAAATGAGCATCAATGAACCAGTTGCCCAACCTAATGGTATAGTACCAAAGCCATTCAAGTTAACACTGCAATTTCCAAAATGATGGTTGCTATGAACAGTGAAAGCCCCTTGGTCATTGCAACACAACGTGTGGAGCAACTGGAGTACCGGTAATTACAAACTAGGGGTACTTGTACTCAGGCCACACTGCAGTTTTAAGGGGGTATGTGGAAACATTGTGGCGTAGTTCAGCTAATTTTTAAAAAGACAGAAATTACAATTTTGTGTTTGGGAGGAACAGAAATAGTGAGGCGCAAAGTATATTTATTGTCACAGTTGCCAGTGAACTAACTGTTAAGACAGACATGCCTCCAGCAAAAAACCTGCGGCCCAGAACTTATGAAGGATCTGGGCCAGATCTGTAAAACGGACCCGAGCCGGTGTCCTTTAGCACAACGGGCCAATGCCGGTTCGGATCCGGTTTTCACATCTGGGCCGGCACTGGTCCAGCTCCAGAACGGATGACAATTATTATGTAGTCATTTGGCCCAAATGTGGGCCAGATCTGGACCAGTTCCATACTGGATCTGGCCCAGAGTCTCTAAGATACTGTTGAGGATCCAGTTTTCAAATCTGGACTGGCACTGGGCCGGCACTGGGCCAGCTCCATTTATTAGTTCTGGCCTGGATTCACCCCACCTCAGGCCTCTTTCATAACCTTGATCTATACCCACAAAACATATACAAAAATATGATTTTTTTTTGTTAAAGGGATAGTTAAAATTTTTACCATCAGATGTTGTGCATGACTCACCAAGTGCTATGGATCCTACTACTAGATAACAGTTAAGGTATACCCTTTCTGTCTCAGAAGCCAAAGGGTTACTGGGGTAGTTTATATAATGTATAACAAATAGTGACTTGTATATCACTAAGGTACACTAAGATTTCTTGTTTCTTTCATTTTCGTTTTCCTTGCATTTTAAACTCGATTACTTTTTTCTTTTGAATTTAAAAAGCATGGACAGTCAAAACTACTGTTACACTTTGTTACAAAGACTGTTTCTATTTGTCCTACACAGAATTTCAACAAAGAAAGTGATAGAATGGATGAGTGACACATTTTAAATTTTATTTAAAATACACATTTTAAATTTTATTTGAAATGTTTGACATAAAAAGCGAGGACAGAAACTTAAAACAAAGTACATAATTGCCAAACTAACATTCAATCTAATAAACACATTTTACAGCTCATTTCTGTCTTTAACAACTGTAGGAACAAGAAACTTCACTCCAGTTGACTTGCAGGTGCAGGTGATTAGTTTCTAGTAACCATACAGTAACCACACAACTATGGCACAGGTGTTATTTTTAAATGAATGCAGAAGTATTAAACTCTAATAATAGCAACAGTGTGGCTTAGTTAAAAAGCTCAATACATTGACATTGCTATTAGTCTTGCATAGTGTAGTGTACCATTAGTAATGATGATAGTAAGAAAGTAAGATTTGCTTTCTCCCTGAGAGAGATGAGAAGATATATACCACACTCATGATACCATACTCTACATATAAAGCTAAAGCCAGGAGACACACGAGATTCTACGGCCTAAACACACAAGATAACGTTTTAATTAGCGACAAGCGATAAGTTTGTCTTGATAGATGATTACTGCCAGCCATTTAGATTTTAACCATTTTCCATGACCATGGTATAAATAACAAAGATTTTATAGCCAAAATACAATATCCAACTCCAACCAGCCATGTGAAACCCAGAAAAAACTGTAAAATGTTGTTTTGGTGGCTTTACGGGAAACATTGATGAGGCAAGTGGAGAAGTGGGAATGCCCAACAAATCATCAGTAGTGGAGTGGGGGATGGCCGATGTGTTCATTTCTGCAAAGGATAAAAGAATGGGTGATTACTCAACTGATAATGGCAATCACAAATTACATAAAATCCACAGAGATTAGTAATTTTAAAGGGGGCTGGACTAGACTAGGACTGGAAGATTTGACCTAAAATCAAAATCCCAATTAAGTGAACATTTTACCGCGATTACAACTAATGAATGATTATTTAGATTTTTTTGCCCTCCTAGTTCATCTACTAGTCACCTCCACATATAATACGTATACTAAAATACTTACTTATCAACAGAGTTCTTGTCAGCATTTCTTTAAAATATTTCTTTTCCCTTTACTCCTTTCCAATTAATCTGTTTGGCCACTGTGTTTGAGAAAACCATTGAATGTATATTCATATAAAAGACTGAACAGTAAATACTATTAACAGAATGTTATCTGTGAAAGTTGCTAAAATAAGGATGAAAGAGCACTGTATGCAGATCAGTGGTGAAGTTACTAGTACAGCAGAGCTGACTGGAAGTCAGACAAAATGTAAAAAGTAGTCAAAACACACAAAACATTTTATACATTTGACAGTTATGTGTACAGTTACCTGTATCTATATAATCATATGAAAAGGACAACAAAAAAATTAAGACCTTTGTAAATAAATGTAAGAGACTTACTTTGAGAATATTAAATTCAATGAGTTTTTAAATTAGTTTAAGACCCAGTGGGTAACGTTACCCTGCATGACAAATGACCCCAGGAGCTCAGCTCTGCTAATGTTACAGGTTTGCACTGCATTGTGATTTTGGAACAAACCCCAGTGGTAGTAACATTATGTACAAAGCCTGCAACAAAAAAATATGAGGCAAATTAAAAAGAATGAGTAATGCTGATTGTACCACTGCCAGCCATCTCAGTGTACTGATATCATGAACCTCATTGTAATTTTTAACTGTAAAATCTGATGAATTACTGAGAACCATCAGCCTCTAGACAAAATAACATTTCTTACAGCTCCTGACAGAAATCTGAGGGTAAACACTTGGTAAGCTTAACATAGCACACTATATCCCTCAGAAAACGCCCCAAATAAATATCCAGAATGAATCAGGAACTGCTCCTCAACCATAATACCGCGGTGTGATTTCATACAAAGTCAATGAAAAGACATGGAGAGAGGAGATTTCCCGCCCATAGACCTTAATTTTTTTTTTTTACGTTTTGATTAACGTCAGATGAAAATTCCAACTTCTTTAGATGGCTTTGATTTTTTAAACACTTAACACACCCTATCATAACTTTATAACGTTATGCTCAACTATAGCCAAGATCAAATCAAAGCCAGAAGAAAGCACTTACATTAACTTAACTTACCCTATTAATCCCGAGCTGTCAGCCAGGGGTGGAGAAAAGATTGAACCTAAAAAGGAGACAGGTGCTGTCAATTGGTGCTGTTGGAAACTAACATTACAACATCGTTGTAAGTTAACTAACGTTAACGTTAAACATCATTAATGTTTTATGCTAGCTGCACACAAAGTTGTTTATTAATGCTAGCTAGCTTAGCTATCCGTTCATTCAGTTAATTTAGCTAACCCAGCTAAAAAGCTAACGTTAGGCAATGCCTCTTCAACAGTTTTAAGAAGTTAAAACCCGGTCAAAACATTCCGATGTGATGATGTTAATGATGTTAACAAGCATTACACCACTATTAAAAACAATCACACTCAACTGTTTGACTGTAACATCGTTCAACTTACCGTTATAAACTCTTTCCCCAAAGCTTCCAGTCCGAACTGATCCAAAGAAAGACAAACAGTTCGCGCGCTCGTTCCGACGGCCAAGGGCCAGAACAACTACGATTCCGCCGACTGACTTCTGCTCCGGTATGAACCGGTTCGAAAGAAACAATTCGCGCGCTCGTTCCGACGAGTCCGGGCCAGAACTATTATGATTCCGCCGACTGATGGATGCTCACGCCCCCTCCTGAGTGCACACAGACTACATGCGGGCCGTATCTGGAACGGGGCAGTAAAACGGGCGTGACTGTTACACGGATCTGCCGGTTTGAAGGCGGATTCGGCCCAGAGTCAGCTGCTACCTGGGGCACCGACCTAACACCTTAGGCTTGTGCAGACTTCACAGCCAACTGCCGTGCCGTTCACACTACACAACTTGCCCTCTTGTGACAGGACTGCTGAAATCGTTGTGGCATTCACACTACGTGACTGATAGGTGACGGGGTCACACACTACAGGAGCTGACAGCGGCTGAGTCGCCAGACGCTGGTCTCCAAACCACGTTTTGTCAAGAAAACACACGTGCAATGTGAAACGGGAAATGACGCAAACCTACAGACAAGACAGCTGCTATTTGTTATTATGAAGAGCAATTATAAAGACAAAGAATATGAGTGAAAGAATGGATTAGCACACGCAGTTAGCAAGGATCGTCTGGGCTACAGAGAGATGTATAAAGTGTTTTATGGTGAAAAAGTAGCTGCCTGCTCGCCAGCTGCCTGCTCCCATTGGCTGGATATGGATGTCGAGTCGGCCGACTCCTCCAGATATTTGGCATGTTCCATATCTGGTAGACGTGCTGCAGAAATGTGTCGAGGAGCCGCTTTGATGCGTCCTTATGTAGTTCACAAATAACACTGGCGACCGCTGATCAACCGCTGATTTACTCCAGATCACAGCCTGACGGTCACCGAGCTCGCCAAGCGGCAAATCGGGCTAGAAATCGTGTAGTGTAGGCTTTAATAAGTGTCCAGCTTCTGCCACTCCAAGTGGGAGTAGTAGCCTACAAATGCAAACCTGACCATACCCACACATTGACAGTTCAGTTCAGCTTTATTGTCAGACTCAGGGTCCATTAGAAAAACGTACAAAATAGCCTACATCACATTCTGTTAAAAACAACACATAAAATAGGAATACAACAATTGCAGGATCCACTTTTACATGTTCAGCAGTCTCAAATAACATCCAGGTTAAAATCCGTCCAAATGAACACATTTGGAATGAGGTGGTGTTGATGAAGGGCTAGTTGAGCTCACCTGACAGGCCACTGTAGGTGTACAACAACAAGGGTTGGGGACCACAGCTTTATGCCACCACCATCAAATCATTTGTTCAGCTTGCCGATGATTAGATAAGACAGGCTTAGTCACTGGTTTGGGGAAGAAAGTGGAAAGTGAAGAGAGTGGCTTCACACCGCAGCCAAACCGGTGCTGATTATGTCTGCAACCCTGTCCCAACTCCACAGCAGAAACACCAGATGGAGTATATGCTTCCATTCCTGGATTGCCGGTGACCCACTTGAGCAGCGACCAGTACAAGGCCGTGTATGACTATGAGGCACAGGTCAGCTTCTTGGCACGGAAATGTCTAACCTCTACATGGGTCACATTCTTATGTACTAATTCTTGTTCATCTTTAGGGGATATCTGTTGATTGATTGTTTCTGTGCTTGTTTAGGGGAATGATGAGCTCTCTGTATCTTTTGGGGACATTGTGGTTGTCCTAGAACAAGGTGAGGATGGCTGGTGGACGGTGCAACGAAATGGCCTTACTGGATTGGTTCCAGGCTCTTACCTTGCCAAAGAATAGGTTTACTTGACAGCCATATGTAAGACTACTATATTTCCTACAACTATGTAGTAAAGGCCTTAGTCATTTCAAATAATTTGATCATATCTGTTGTTTATATTTTTGTTACATGCATCATTAAAGACCCTATGTGTAGGATTTCAAAATTTCAAACTTTGGCACCCTCTATGGTGATATCAGTGTACATGCCATAGATGTGCCCATAGTGTGAATTAACGGTGTCCGATTTTTATAATGAATTAATAATCCTAGAGATAGGGACTTTCACTTACAATTAATGGTTAATTATTTATTGCTATGGCACATATTCACATTAATTTGCCCTTACTGCTCATGTATTGAGCGCACCTCATACCAGAGACAGCTGAGCGAAGTTTATCCATATACTGTGGTATTCTTGTATATTTCAGGTCTGAAATGATGGGCAGAATGTTTGATTTCTCTTGTTGGCCTTTATGTCATTTCATTGTGTAGTTATTGTTTCTATTCTCAATGCCAAAAAGTGTAATTAAGCATTTGTTTGTATTTATTCAATATTAAAGAGAAATCCTCAGGTTTTAATTTGGTTTTTGAACGGCATAAATGCTAATTAAGAAAACTATTTGGCATGTCATGAAACCACAATACCCTATTTGTTCCCTCATGACCCCTTTTACTGCAGATACATACTCTAGATTATAAAATCCGACTAGAACCATCCAAAGTAACTGAAATTCAACCAGGCATTATTCTTCTGCTCTCTTTGGTTCAAAGGTATCTGGTTACTCTGTCACAGGTGATGCATTGCTAACTCAGTGTCCATGAAGTAACCAAATCTTTTAATCATGTCCTTCTTATCAAGTCTTTTTACCAACATTTTAAGTGTGTTTGAGGGTCCACAAACTGATTCGGTGTCACACCAGAAGCAGGCACAACTGGGTTTAATGATTCCAATAGGCAAGATGTTAATACGTTTTGAGTCCATGGTAACCTAAAACCTAGTTTGAAGGCGTAAAGCTACAAAAGCATAAAAGATAAGACAGACAGACCAAAAGCATTTGACTGGGTATGTGAAACGCTTACACCTCTCCCTCATGGGAAACACCTGAACTTTGACCTTTCTTTTTTGGGACAGCCAGTGAATTAGCTTTTTCAGGATAGAATAAAAAAACAGTAGTCACATTTGGTGCAGCAACTTCATCTCTTTGTAAAGATGTGACATTTCTGTCTGAGAAATTAAAACAATAAATCAGAAAATGCACTTTTTAATTTCAAACTTTCCCCACATTTTATTTACATTCTTGAGTCTTGCCATTGCTACATGTCAACAAATCAAATTCTAAAACTACCATCAGTAGACTGTAGACAAAACAAACAGGACAAAGTTTATCTATCTAGAGTTAAGAATGCATTAGTACTTGAAAAAGCCCACATACTGAAGGGGGTTACAAGGTTTGATTCTTAAAAGAAAATCAGCAAATCCCAGTAAAGTTTCATAGTTTACACTCAGAAACTTGCTGTGCCATTGACTGGGGTTGGGGTGTCCAATATTTCTTGAGAGAATACTGCTGAAAAAGGTGAGATTTTAACTAAAACTGAGCTGTTAGAGTAGTAGTAGCAGTAGAATAGTAGTATCAGTAGTAGTGAAGGTACAAGGTAAAATTATAGTCTTTCATTCAAGTACATGACAGATTTAAATATAAAATATTCAAAGCCATAAACATAGTGCAAACTAACATATGAGGAAATGACCCTGTCCACCTTTTTAAACCACACATGTAACCATACATTCCCTTGACTAACAAGGTTTGAGTTTGGTAAGAAGAGGTCTTATGGCCTCTTGCAATCCTCAGAGCAACAAAATGCTTTCTGCATCTCATTTACATTGACCGTTAAAGAATTTGGTCAGTAGCTTTTTTTTTTTTTTTTTTTTTTGGAAAAACAGGTCAAATATATAACTTTAGTTTGGTTAGTGTTTTAAAGTTAGTGTGGTAATAGATTATTTTCACTATCTCACCTATGCCACATTCTTAAATTAAATGTAAATTCTGAAAGTGTGTGTTATGGTGAGAAACGTGATCTCCTTCATGCATAGGTGCCCCCTGTAATGAGAAGCTCATAGGCAGGACCTCTGCTTCTGCGGCACAGCACCACACAAGCACACAACATCCCCAGCATCTAGAAGAAAGAGATGTACACGTTATTAGTGTTTTTAGTTTTGAAATTTGAAATGTTTTTTTAAAGTTGTTAGCCACACTGCTGCTGATTGGCTTTTGTCAAGAAACTTCCACGAGATAAAACCTCCTTTTAAACCCGGAACAACTGGCTGAGCTTTAAGATTGGTATCGGGGCCAATCCGGGCATATTTTAATGGATCAGTAGGTAGCAGATCGAAATCTGATCCTTGCTTCACTGAACTTCCCTGTGTTTTGTCCCCTCAGCCTGCTAGTATTGCAGCACGCTGCTCTCCTTAATGACAGTGAGCGCTACACTGCGAGCATTTTTCAGATTCATAAGAGTTAAGTTAATAAATGTTTTCTCTCTCCAAACACATTAAGCTAGCAGCTTCCGATTTTTAGCCGCTGCTTCCACCGGCTAGAATGACAAACTTCACCGGCGGTCATGTAAGCTTTCAGGAAATAAATTTAATTCCCTGAGTAACTTGCCAAAGTAAAAGCTACTGTTTTGCTAATGTGTGCTCTCTGTCTGACTCTGCCTAAAATTGATTATGAAGTAAAAGAAGCATCACTCTGTAAGACCAGTGTTTTTGTAGTCTCAACAACTCCCAACAGAGAGATACCTCTAGTCTCAAGCTGAACGTGTCACGTCAGTTTCAGGAGTCGCATTCTTCCAGTTAAACTTACATTCATATAATATCAATATTTTGAGCATATCAACTAAATGTATTTGTATCAGCATGCGAAAAATAGGGCATGCCAAATGTAGAAGGCTACATGTGTTATTTCAATGTGTCTGATACATATTTATTGATTTATTGATTATTGATTTATTTATTATGATTTAATAATAGGGTCAGACACTGTATCAATAGTGTTGAATGACTCTGATTGAGGCCAATAAAAACTGAGCAGGTTAATTAATTTAATTTAAAATGTTCAGCAAAACAAGGCATCTTGATTACAGGTATTACATACCTGAATAGCAGCAAATGTCAGTGCAGTCCAGATGACATACATCATGATCTCCTTCAACTTCTTCACAACCAGAGCTTCACAACCCTACACACACACAGAGAACATGTTCAAACATATAGAACTATAAGAAGTCACTCCTTTTTAAAAATAAGTGGTGTTTGCTATGAAAACTTGACAAATTTAGAGGGTGTTTTGCCTCTTGGTAGAGATCTTCAGGACGAGTGAGGGACCCTGTGCAGCTTCCAATGTTTGCTTTGCAACAGCTGATGGGTACGCTGTTATTTTTTGATTCTTCATACCAGTGTGTATACTGCCAGTCTAAGTAATTGTGGATTCCACAACACTGAAGCTGTGAAAATAAAAACAATGAAAACTCAAGATTACTTGCTCAGCTAACAGAAATCCAGGTGAAACAACAATACCATTACATCTGGTTTACAGAGGAGACCGCACCTGTCTCTGAACGTAGTCGATGGCACGACTCTGGGCATTGCTGTTGGTGCCATTATACTCATCATACACTTTCTTGATGGAACTATTAACTTCATCTTCAACCTGGCAATGGTAAAGAAAGGTGAGACTAAACCTTTGATGACATATAAATGGTACAAACCAACATGACTGCACACACTAGCAGATTAGTTTTGATTATCTGTGGTTGACAAATTGTCCCTGCTCTTATGAGTGGGTGTGATCTGCCGGGTCACATGAAAAGGCCAAGAAAAACAAACATGTACTTTCTCACCTTTGCTCTGTAAACGTATCCGAGAACCACCACTGCCACTTCCGTCATGAAAACCAGCAGAAGAATGACGACAAACTGTGGATTGAATTTCACGATTTAAGATGCACACAGACAACAGACACTTTGGAAAACTAACATGCATATACGTGAAAAGTGGATTATTTGACTCGTTGGCATGTTCAAGTTAGACAGAATACTACCAGCTCTGAGAAAAGGGTTGAATTTGTGCAGTTTCTGCTCCATGGATTATTTAATATCTCTATGTCTAATTAGATGTGATAACTAACATGATTTTAAGTCAAATTCCAAATGTCAATGCCAGGTTCTCTAATGCATCCTGAAATACCACTTTTCTCTTCATAAAGTTTCAAAGTTCACCTTTGATTGATCACTTACTACACAAGGGCATTAGTACCCAAGTATCTATCAAGTTAAACTTCTAAACTGGTTTACTGACCGCTGTCAGTCCACAGTAGCTCTCTCTCACTGTAGCGCAGCATCCAATGAGCCCAATAATGAAAAGGAGGGCTCCAACTGCGATAATGGTCACTGCTGGGATGAGAGTGTACACGTCTTCAAAGAAGTGATCGTAGTCATCATATGTAATGAAGACATAGGCTCCCACATAGCACAGGATACCAGCAGCAGCCTGTGGGTGACAAATACGTCAACAAAAGGGAAATCAAGAGTTATTATTATTATGGTTTAAGCTACCCAGCAGTAAATAAATTTAAAATTAGCCCCACCATTATACCGACATTAATGCATCAACCATTATTATTCTGAAATGGGCCGTTCTGCAAAATGACTACTTTTACTTTAGGCACTTAAATGCTAATGCTTTTGTACTTTCACTTATTAAAGTGTTTTCAGACTGTGGTGTAACGTTAGCTAACGTTATTCCTATTTTAAAACGATCTGAATTCATCTTCCACCGCTGCCTGTTATGATGTCATTCATAATGGCTGGACCTGCAGTTTAACCAGAATGATTTGCGGGCTTTTCACCAACAAAATAACGTCAACATTTATTCTGAACTAGGTTAGCTAAACTGTCTTCCGGAGCTTTTGATATGCAGTTACCAGCATGTATGGCTGACCCGATAGACTAGTGGCTGACACATCTCTGGCTTGGTGTGTGTTAACCTACATCCCGCATGGAGGGTCAAAAAGCAATAGTTTGACTTTGCAACACTGCATTTTTTTAAGCAAAGAGTATTTCTACTCTAAAACGTGATGTAAGGTTTAAAAATGTATTATTTGCGGTAAATCATTAAACCTGAACAAAGTATATCTCTTAAATGATGTCTTTCCTGCTGCATTCTCAAACTAATCCCTCCCTGGTTAAACAAAGGTCGCCTGCCGCAGCTAGCAGAGTGGCTGACTGGACACAAAGCTAACGTTAGCTAAGTTAGCTGGTGGGCTGTGACGCACGTTCAGAGCTGCCAGAAACCTCCAAACTTACCCAAAATATAAGGTTCAGAAAGACGAGGACCGTCTTTGACGACGTGATGCCGCACTGTCCCATCTTCAACACGTGGATTTAATGCTGTACGTGTTGGGAAATAATGCAGGTTTCTACTCAGACATGTCCCGGCTAGCTCCAGCACTCACTCTCCATATCCCAACTCTGTGTCACTGAAGCTGGTTGCACCGGCGACGCAGCGCCACCAACACAACCACAATAAAAACAAACAAACCCTTTAGAGACAAATGAGTTAGCCACCCCAATATTCACTTATTATTATATCATATATATTATATCACAATATTATAGGCAGAGTTACGAGAATGTGTTGTAAGCAATATTTTTGTGATATATGCAGTCAAACATTAAAAATATAGTATGTTAAATCCAATCGAAATGGCAATGAGATGTTTTTCTGACATCTAGTGGTGGAAACTTTTACCTGCTTGTCCTTCATGCATTAAACATTACTGATCACTGGTCAGCTTACCTAAATAAAAACAAGAAGCGTCACAATAAAATAAAAAAACCCTGTGATATGCTGTGGTAATTTCTGGTTGGAAAATAAAGGGGAAAACGTATTAATTTCGACTCAGTGGTCACTAAATTATCAATATGTGCACTTTGTTGTAATTTATACGTGACTGTTGATGACACCACTGCAATGAAGTTGAATGAATGAAATTGGCAATGTAGTCAAATCATTTTGTCCCTTTGTTTATTGAGAGCAATACACAATATTTGCCGAATGAAGCTAATTCTCATTCTGAAACATTACACCGGTAAAGAGCAGAAAAAACGGCTCAAATAATGAATCATTTATGTGAGGAAGAATGTAATGTAGGCCATGTCTCAAGCTCAGGATCACTTTCAAAGTAAAGAAACCAGACACAGTGGGAGTGTGTGTGACAGTGTTGTTTTTCAAATACAACAAAGTGACAAGCCTCCATTTCTGTGTAAAGGAAAATGTAGATTTCTCTTCAACTTTTGCACATTCATATTTTATTATCCACATAATTTAGATAAACAAAAGCACCGGCCTCTATTTAAAGCTGTTACAAATAGTGTTATAGCCTTCTATTTCATAGCAGTAGAGAAGCTGAAATCAGCATGCGTGCCAAATATTTTATCCCAGTGGCTGAAGTGTGGTGCAAAATTGGTGTTGGGTTTCTGATGGTGCACATCGTGTTTGCTGGGCCCTCCATAGATGCCAAACGGTATCAGACGTGATGTGGACCAGGGGAAATCATAGCCACAGTGATCCTCTATAGAAACGTAGACATGCAACACCATGAATGTCCATGTGGTGAGTAGGTGGCATCTCAGGATCACAGGATTCAGAGTGGTCCAAAAGCCCACTGTGACCAGCTCCCAGCCGCCGAGACACTGAGTGGCAAGAGCAAAGGGAGAGTAGTATTTATGATGGATGGCATGGAAAGTGACATACAGCCAGCGGATCCTGTGATGGAGCAGGTGCCAAATGAAGTATTGGAAGTCAAAGAGCAGGAGGTTGCCTATCACCCCAGCAATCAGCTCCAGCAGGGACGGAGCCCGGTCAGGCAGGTCCACAGGTGGCCTCCATGCCCACTGGGCCACTGATGCTGGCAGCACAAGAAACACATGGTTGAACAAGGTGACACCTGCACAGTGCAGCAGTGCAGAGGCTGCTGGACGATGGCTGGGTTGGATCTTGAATTGCTGGACCCAAGCCCACCTTTCTCCCATCATGTCGCAAACAAGGAAAGGAAGGCACAAGACAAAGTAGGAAGACACTGTCAGGATAATGGGGAAGAGTGCAGATCTCAAATAGTCTCTGTAGTTGAGCCTCAGGCTGTTCCACAGAGGCTGCAGCAAAGAGTCGTTTCCTAAGCATCTCATCCAAAGATCTACGCTGATATCCGCAAGCTCCATACTCATGTAACAAACTATCTTATTATTGAGGACGTTCCAGCCAGAAACAGCATGGTAAAGACTTTATGCCACGAGTGTCTGCTTATGCTTTGCTCACTGTGTGGCATCAAGTGACAGCTGGGTGCAACAATGCAACAAATTATTCATACACCCTGGGTAACAGGTAACATACAGTTCTCCACATGACAAATTGTTCAGTAGGGGAAATAATTTCAAAATCCTATTTCATTCTCTCAAACCATCTGTTAGTGCCATGTCTCTGCTCAAGCTCAGGTGAGTTTATCTGCCATTTTACAGCGATCTCTTTGTTGATAAGTACAGTTTCTTAGATAGTAAATGTGATTTTTGAGGTCATTAGTGACAAAACAATGTTTTCCTCTTCCTGTGAAAAGAAAGGTTTGGTCTAAAAGATTTTCAAGAGTTGTTAAGGTTCGAACTAGATTTTTCATAACCTTTACACGTGATAATCTCGTGTGATCATACCATGGACCTAATTGTTGCCCCAACGTTTTCGAACCTTTCGTCGCACGCAATGACGCAAAACTTCTGCGCTCCTGCTGTTGAAGTGTTGAACGTTTGACGTTTCCTGTTGCAATACAAGTAAATACTAAGTAAATCTGAAGCTAAAACAGTCATTAAAGACAAAATGCAAAAAATATGGCAAGAATACTGGGAACTAAATGAAACTAGAAGACATCTTTACAGTATACAGAATCATGTTCGTCTGGGAAGAAAATTGGGTGGGTGCCGGAAGACAGAAACCGTCATTACCCGTCTAAGAATAGGACACACAAAAATAGGTAAACACCCAACTGGACACTGTGTAAAATGTAATAGTATAGAGACCATTCAACATGTGCTGGTTGAGTGCAGAGGCTATGTAGAGGCGAGGAGGAAAATAGCAGCAGTTGTAGAGAAAGCTGAGCTTAGGTTCACTGTCGAGAACCTCCTTGGGGATAAAGCATGGGGAATATCAAAGCATCTCATTAAATATCTGAAAGAAACGGTATTAATGGAAAGGATATAGGTTATCAATTTTTATTCATTTAATTTATTTGTTTGTTTGTTTGTTTTATTTGTTTATTTGGTTTTTATGTTAGTCTGCACATGATCTGTTCCACACTCCAGTCCGGTAGGTGGCGGTAATGCTCCTAAATTGCTGGCTGTCAACCGCCAATCAAATCAAAAGAAGAAGAAGAAGTTTCCGGTTGCAATCCACTGTGAAAAAAATCTGTACCCACTGGAAGGTAAGGACACTTTTAAAAGGTTTGAAATATTTATAACACGCAAGGGCTTGTCATCACGCGGGACATACTTTTACGCGGTTTCTTCTGTGTATTTGAGGTACTGTCATTTTCCAAAAATAACTTTGATCTGAATGAATTGACTAATGTAACGTTAGCAAGACACTCCCCCTGTACGTAAAGTTAAGCTAGCGAAGTTAACTAGTGAGATAGCTAACGTCGGTCTTTTTCTGCCGATAGTGAACACGCTGGTTAACATTAGAGCTAAATGTCCAGATGCCACGCTATAGTTAGGAGGGTTTTAGATGATGTGGACGATAGATGGACGCCTGTTGTTACGCCAAAGGAACCACAAAAAAACAACGAAAATATTTCACGTAACGTTAAGTTAGATCTTTATGCGTGGCAACAAAACATCTGTCCAAATCCATCTGGTAGACCATTAAATATCTGAGTTTTTTAACAGAGACAATCTGATGTTGATGTTTTGCCCAGGCCTATAAAGCTGGTATATGGTCAGTCCTTTACACATGGCTAGTCCCATTTATTTCAATAAAAATACATCTTAAAGTCCAACTGAAATCACATTTTGTTAATTGCTTTGTATTAGTAAAAGAAGAAAAAACGGTTTTTGAGGGGAAATATTAGAAATGCTTCCTTTTCTTCTGGGCCAGCTAGAGGGGCGTGTCGGTGTCTGTTGATTGACAGCAGCTTTCAGACTTAAAACGCTATCATGAAACCAAAAAACATAATATATATTTCTTCCTTTTGGTTTTAGATTTTTTTTTTCTCATAGGAGAGCCAGGACAAGTGATATACAGAGCGGATATGCATTCTGTAACAAAAAAGCTATTTAATTTCAGTTAGTTAACACTGCAACATACAATGATATTTTGGACTAGTTACCTCAAGAAAAAAGATTCAGATTTAGCTTATTTTTCTTGTTAAACACTGGATACTTTCTACAAATCCTTCAAATTAAACAATCTGACTCATGTCCACACTAAGGCTACAACCTGGGATGAGTGGTCTCAAGAAGGCTTACTTTATTTTAAGGGGTCACGAGACAAAAACGTTGGGTATCACTGCTTTAGATTATGGTGTCTTCCACTTTGTGGGAGTGGTTGGAGAAGGTCCTTGTATTTTTCAACATGACAGGGCCCCTGTGCACAATACATAAAGAAATGGTTTTCACAGTTCAATGTGGAAGAACTTACATGCCCTTATGACCCATCATCAGTGCCCGACCTTCGCTAAGGCTCTTGTGGTTGAGTGGGAGTAAATACTTGCAGGCAGGTTCTAAAATCTTGTAGTAAGTCTTCTCAGAAGAGTAGAGGCTATTCTAGCAGTAATATAAATGCCCATGTTAATCACATATTGCTTTAATGTTTGTGTGTACACATGCTTTCGGCTTTGTAGTGTTTACATATAGGTAAAAGAAGTAGATCCATCTCTGTATTTCTGTATTCATTCATTCAGGTGTTAATAGTGATGGACGATGGTGAGGGAGAAAAGACGGGTGAATCAGAGCCCGTACTTCAAACACAGCCGCTGTGTCGTTTCTTCTGTCAAGGAAGACACTGCAATTTTGGGAAGAAATGCAAATTCCTACACATAAGAGATGATGCCAAAGTTCATGAGAAGAAAGCCATCAGGACACCAAGCCAGTCAGATGTTGAATTTCAAAACTCAGAGGTCCTTGGAGAAAATGTGGGACACAGGGAGAATTGCACTCCCACTGGCAACTGCAGGGTTGCCCCAGCAGCCAGACGTCGCCCCTGTCGCTACTTTATTTCAGGCCACTGCACCATGGAAGACAGATGTCGCTTCTGGCATCCACCACAGTTGCCCCCAGTGGATAACCAGCCTGTTCCTGGCAATTACACAAAACCTGCACAGAGGATACCACCGGTACCCTGTCCCAGCATCCTCCAGCAGGTCAAGCTGTGTGACCTGACAGAGGATGTCGGCAAGCAGCTTCGAGACACAGAGATCAAGCAGTTGAAGAAGCGTTTTCCCAAAGACCAACTCATTATTCAGGAACGAAGTGATGGGAAAGTTACTTATTTCAGGGCGACTGTAGGGGCTACTGATCCAGACTGGGTAAACATTTTCATTTATCATCTGTCTCCTTTCCCCTCCCAAGATCTTTAGAGCAGAAATACATTCACATATTATTTCTAATAATAGTGGTTTGGTTTTAGTTTAACTTTTAATTTGTGAACTTGAGCAAGTCTCTCCTTAACTGATTAACAGAGTGAGACTGTATTTGGACACTGAAGCTTCTTCATAGACAATAAATAGTAGAGCCATTATTACTATGCTGTGACAGAAGCACCCAATGTGGTAATTGTGTAATTGCTGGGGTTTGTTTCAAATAAGCTGAACCAATGAGATTACACTAAGCATATTTGTTATATGGGGAACTGGGTAAATTGGTGAACTATTAATCCACTTAATCAGTTGTTATGGAGTCCAAAATCCACAAATATTTTCTGTAAATCATTAATGAACCAACTTTTCTCACACATGCCATGCTTTGGTTTGACAGTGTATTACATTGGTGAAAATGTATTATCTGGAAATATACTGACTCTGCATTTCATTTCATAGCCTTTTGATCTGAAAGAAATCGACATCATGGTGAGCTTCCCAGACAATTACCCCCAGGAGGTAAAGCCCACTGCTATCATTTACATTACAGGTTCTGTGACATACCATACAGTAAATGGTTTACAAAGAACAGTTTCTCATCACCTTGATACATTTTCTTAGATCTTCACATTGGACGTACCGTTGGACCAGGATCTGCCACCAGTAATGGCAAGGTAAAAGCTTGTGCAATTTGTTTTTAACATTTAGCATTTAGAGTACTTGGCGTTGACATTTCTATAAATCTCTACTCAGACATGTACAGGAAGCATCATTAGAGTGGCTTCAAGCCAAGCATGCAACCAATCAGCTTCTGGGAAAGGTAGAGCTGCTTTCCGGCCTTTTCTTCGCTGGCTAGATCGTAGCTTGGAGAGACTGTTCACTGAGGGAGCCAGGCAGGTGAGAACCTGCATGAACAGGAGGTTGTGAATTGTTATTGTGTGTTTTCCCATTGAATTTACTGAAATGACCTGTAAGTCACAGCTTTCTACTATTTATTTTTGACAAAAAAAAAATATATATTTATTATCTCCAGCAGTAAAATGTCTCTTTTAATGCTGATGTCTTTGCAGTTGAAAAAGGACGTTGATTTAGAAAGAGCTGGATTGCAGTTCATACCATACCAGGAGCTCCAGGCAACAGTGTGTGAAAAGTCTGGGAATGATCATTCATCTGACACTACTGCTGCAGATGAGGTGCCAGTGATGAAGGAAAACTGAAAAAGACAGAAGGCGAGAAGACAATAGAGGGAGGGGAGTTAGTGCAGCAGGAGCATCCAGGATGCGATGAAGGGCAGCAGCAGCTGGGGGAGGAGGAAGCCAGTCATCTGGTGGAGAACATTAAGATCAGCGATCCCCGCAAAGGCACCGAGGTGAAGCTGCTGGGACTGAGGCTGGGAGAGAACACAGCCACCGTAGTGGCCCAGCAAATCACGGTTTGTCTTCAATGTAACAGGTAAGGATAATAGCTAAACGTCTTATCCATATCACAAATTACAGTTTGTTCAATTAGAATGACCCGCAATTGAGAGCTTGACTGTATTTGTCCTGTCTGCAGGTGTAAGGTAACTGCAGACCTGACACTGACTGGAAGGACACCCTGCACAGCTCAGTGTGAAAAGTGCAGTGCAAGCATCAATGCTGCATTCAGGCCCTGCATGCTGCACCATTACAGTGATGTCCTGGGATACCTGGACCTTCACAATGCTGTACCTGCTGACCTTGTGCTTCAGGAGTGCGACCTCGTTGTGGGCTGCCTCAGCTGCTCCCAGGATGGCCCTGCGCTGGTGATGAAATGTGTCCTGCTTAACACTAAACACGTTCTTTGTGTGAAATGTAACCAGTAATAAGTGATTTACGATATATGTCGATATAAGTTCTAGGCTTCTCTGAAACTGATTTTTTTGTCTTTGATTTTCACTAGAACGTTTCCTATGGTCAAGCGAAGGAGTTTAATTGTGAACACTGCCACGGCAAGCTCAGTATTTTTGCTGACAGCACAATATTCCAGTATATTCAGCCGCGTGCCAACACAACAGGTCAGAGCTCACCTACATTTGCTGAAGGGATCAGCAAAGATCTTACAACAACAAACTGCCAGTGCTACCTCACATTATTATTTAAAAAGCTACTACGTGCACCCCCCCATCCCACATTTGTGCAGGTTCAAGTGCTTCTGCTGGTATTTATAAGACAATAAGAGATCCTGCTGTGCAAAAGGGGAAGCCACTGCCAGAAAAGGTGCATGCAAACATTTCAAACAGAGCCATCGCTGGCTAAGGTATGATCCTCACTGTGTCCCATCTCACATATCTGACATTCAAGCTCTGAGAAGAAACGAATGTTGTGAAAGCTTTGTACCACTGACTGCCCTCAGGTTTCCCTGCTGTGGCCGGGCTTACCCCTGTGATGTGTGTCATGATGAGGACCAGGACCACCCCATGGAACTGGCCACCAGGATGATCTGTGGCCACTGCGCCAAAGAACAGGTGAGCATGACGTCACAATTAAGCCACAGACCTTATATCCTCATATATATATATGTGTGTGTGTGTGTGTGTGTGTTATACCTACATCGTTGTTTTAGCCGTACGGCAATGGAAAACCTTGCATCAGCTGTGGAAGCATGATGACGAGAGGAGCACGCACCTGCCACTGGGAGGGTGGACTGGGATGCAGAAACAAAGTCAAAATGAGCAGGTACATCCACGTAATGACATTCAGGTCCACATAGGTTTATTGTTAACATCACTGTTCAAAAACATAACAGTAGTAGTAGTAGAAACGTTTATTTCTTTCTGTGACTAATGGGTAAAGAGTTTGTGGTTTTTCTTCCTGTTCAGAAATGATCGACACAAATATGCCAACACCAACAAAACGGTTTCAAGGAAGGCAAGCAGTGACAAGAAGTAGTTGGTGAAGAAGAGCATTATTGCCTTAATTTGTGAAGACATTATGTGATTCTTGATTTCAATGAAATTTTCCCCAATAAATCATGTTATGATCTTTCAGTGTGAGACATGTTAATATTTAGACCTGATGTTTAAAGTGTGTTCATCTCTGTATTCATTTTATCAAGGTTTAACTCTTCAAGTTATTAGGTTTAATAGGACACGCACAAGATGCACTGAACAAAATGCATGCAGGTCATTTGATTGATTATACAGTGTATTAAAAGATAACCTGGTCAATTCAAGTAGTCCAGCGTTCTAATCATATTTTGAATCCTTTTAGATTAGGAGAATGGACAGTGCAACAACGGCTTTCATTTATCTTTAGACTAAAAATATAAAAGGTAGAATTATGTCTGTCTTCATTTGAAAAATATGCAGTTGCAAAAAGCGTTCTAATAATTAGTTTTTTTAGGTTTTCTTTTGTAGACCCTCAAACAAAATAAGTGTGTATTCTGCAACTCAGATTAGAAAGAAATTGGCGACATTGAACTGCTGGGGGGAAAAAACCCTACTGCTCTGTTCCGATTTAGAGAAAAGCCTCCTTCCATTGAACTCCACTATATAAAGGCAGAACTTTGTCTTGATCCGGAGACTTGGAGCAGCAGCCTTCAGTGGTACCACAGCGAGATGTTGAACATCAGTGAGCCAATTCTGCAGCACCTGCCCTTCAGGGCCTCAGACCATCTACTGCAGCCATTCTGGGATTATTTGCTTTTTCAACACCTGCCTCTCATCTCATCTCCTTTTTTCCCCGTCCTGCTCACCTTCTCCAGTTATGTCTTCTTCAGCATACCTTTTGCTGCACTGGATCTCTTGGGAGAAAGACTGCCTTCAGTCTATCAGTACAAGATCCAACCAGACAGGCTGCCAACAGTGGGAATGATGGTGAAGATCTTCATGTCATCGCTGTATAAGCACATATTCTTTGTTCTGCCAGCTGTAACAATTGGTATCTTCATACTGCCTACACCAACACTGCCACAGGAGGCCCCAACTCTTTGTGAGGTAGTTATTGATGGACTGGCTGTACTTCTCGTCTTTGACACTCAGTACTATATTTGGCATTACATACATCACAAGCAACCGCAGCTCTACCGGTGGATCCATGCAATCCACCATGAATATAGGGCACCTTTCTCTTGGTCGACTGAGCATCTCAGCATCCCCGAGCTGATGGCTGTTGGACTCTGGAGCAATCAGGACCCAATTCTTTTAAAGTGTCACCCATTGACTGCATGGTGTGTCACAGTTGTCAGTGTCTGGATGTCTGTGGAGAACCACATAGGCTATGACCTGCCGTGGACTGTCAACCACCTGGTGCCTTTCGGTCTGCTAGGCGGTGCACCGGCTCACGACATGCACCACCAGAGGCCGAGCAGTAACTACAGTGTCTTCTTCAGCCACTGGGACAGAATCTTTGGCACCGCCGTTCCACTGAAGAAAAAAACTATGAGAAGATAAGTAAATAAATAAAATACTGCAATCTGTAAATACTGCATGTTTAGTGTTGTCTTTATGTTGCACTGTTTTTTAGCACCATCACAGTGTTACTATAGTTTCTATAATTTTACTTGCTGCTCCTCCTTTTTTATTTGAGAGGCTGCTTTCTTATTGACCAAACTTGTGAAATACAATTGAAAAGTTGCTAAAAAGTGTATTTTCTTATGGCTTTTCATTTAATGAATTAAAAATCGACTTTTTTCTTTATGTGGAATAAATCATTTAAATGTCAACATTTAATGCATTGTTCTCCATGTATTACGGGAGCATAATCACACATCATTCAAGTCATTCCAGTTAAGTAATCAACAGTAATTGGTTACATTTGCAAGCAGAGTACAAATTTCTTCTTTCCTGTTGTTGCTTTTCTCACAATCTTCTTACGTAATGCAAAATCTTTGAAAGAGCTTTCATCAGACTCCAAAGTCCACAAAGGAACATAGAGCTTTTGAATAAGAAAGCTAAGTACGATTTGTCAGGCTTGCCACCACGATGTCGAGGAATTAATGTTAACCTGATTTGAGAAAGTGCTGAGCTTTGACTGTACAGTGTTCCAGACTGACTTGAATGTGTAATTTGTATATCATTTCATATATCATTCATTGCATATGACAGGTGATTAAATATTTACTACTAATTCCTTCTCATTACTTTGTAACTGAATTAAATTATTTAAAAATGGCCAAGAACACACAAACATGCAACACATTTTAAAATATATTTATTTGTCACAGAAATAAAAAAAGAAAACAAACCAATGCTATACAATTTCAGTGAAGACTCTTATTTAAATACTGCACAAACATGTTGGAAATGTGTCCAGTGTTCTCCGTTGGGTGCATCTTGGTGTAGCTGATGAACTGGCGTCGGAATTTCCTTAGCTCTGCCATGTTGATGCTCCTGGTGAGCTCAATGTTCAACATCAAGTTAAGGTCATTTGAATGCAAGCCGTGCTGTGTGCAAGCTGTTCTCACATGAAGACAGAAAATGTGTTTTCTACAGTACGGCTGAACACTGAAGAAGCAATAACTAACAGACCAAAGGCATGTGAAGGTCACAGCACCACATCTTAATCTTTAAAGAGAACACCACAATAAAGCAACACAAAGTACTGACTGTTGCTGACGTAATCTCACATTTCAATTATGCATCTGTCATTAAAGGTTGACAGGCAGCGAACGTAATGTACTTTCAAGTTAGTTTCTGCCTGGACCAACATGTTCAAAGAGGAAAACCAATGTGTTTGCTTCTGAGAAGGTCTGACAGTACTGCTGACAACTGAAATCCACTAATCTATGCAATTTGGTTTCTCTGCTCCATACGTATCCCACCGTATGTTATTACAGGCGAGACCTTTAACTGTGATTGGTTGCTGTGCCTTTCATTTAAGTTCTTTGATGGATATGCATTCATCCACCTCCCCCTTCTAAGAAGTCATTTGAAGTAGAGTACTTTGCCTCCTGCTGGTGAGGGAATATGCTTTCCCTAGAAGGGTGGGTGGTAAAAATACAAATTTCAGACAGTCATTAGCTGTGAAAGATCACTGCCACCCAGGACAGAACAGAACTGTTAAAATCTGGTTAATGTGAAAAGATTCTTCAGAATTAGGTTTTAATAAAACATGTAGACAGGTAAGTATAAAAAGGATATCTTTTCTGTAGCTCCTGGAACTGCAATGAGATCTCCGGGTACACTTGTCTTCTGTGCGTTAAATATTGCCTGAAAATTTTCAATTCTGTTCATCAAATACATTACATACAGACGGTAATGTTTTTAGCAAAGTGAAAATACAATCGGCCGATGAATCAAAATGAGAAAACAACTTAAAATTATTCATTTGATTTGGGAATTTGTGCAAAAATACTAATATAATAATAAAAAAGACAAATGTGAGAATGAAAACATTACTGTCCATGCAGACTGAAGTATGAAGAAAATGCAACATAAAACAGTTACCATTTCAGGCCACTAACAGATGTACTCAATAGCTAATCAAGGAAACAGATAAAGTGATTTCACAACCCATCAACTAGAGGCATCAGTAGTTAAATAATTACAGGAGCAAAGGTAGTTACAAAACGGGATCCAACAACAACATTCCAATAATGACCGGTTCACAGGGGGAGGACACACTGGTGACTGCAGTGCACCTGGTTCTCATAATAGAAATTTAAAAACTTTCACCAGTTGTGTCACTTTGGAAAAAGCATCAATATTGACATCACACAGTAGTTCAGACAGGCATGGAAGTCATTTATAGTCCATGTTCCCTACCCTTTGAATCACGTATACAACGAGACAAGTCTCAGAATAAGAGAGTACATCTTGACATTCTGTGGTTTTGATCGGATCTTCCCAGCTGCGGGGCGGTGAATTCATTTTATACTTTAAAACACAACATTCTCTTGGTCTCAGTGAGGAACTAGAAATCACAAGGTTTCTGTAATGGAAATTCACCTCCCTCTGTAAATACATAAGGTCGACTTCAGTATTTTGAAGTTGTGCGTCGTTCACCTTAGCTCCTGTACTGTAATTATTTGCCAACCTATTAACTCAATGTGATGCCTTTCATCTCCTAATTGCTATTAGCCAATGAGTTGTTAACCAACTCTGTTTCCTTGATGTGTTATTCATGACACATTCACATCATATGGGATGGAAGGAAGACATATCAAAGATTCACATGTTTACAGCCTGCAAGGGTTGACGTCATTTGTCGTTCACGACAAAATACAACACTATATCCTTTAAATTTGGGTTTAATTACCTTGAATAACTGGTGTGAGATGTACATGTTTGTTTGGTTTTCAGGCATTTCTATATTATTAGGTACTAAGCCCTGTTTTCAGAGGAGTTAGAGCCTCCAAGTCATAATTACGACTTGGATGTTGACATGAAAGCTATTTTCAAGATTTAAAACTGGTAATTACAAAAACTCTGATATAACATGAACATGGCATTAGTACACCTGCTAATGGGCTATAAGTACCTACATTATCTTTCTATGCACAGAAGAAAGTCTATAAAGTGGAGTGAAATGTTTGCCAATGCTTTGTTAATTGAAGTTTAAACCAAGTATTTTTTCTAAATATGACCCCTCAGGCCATTATTTTTACTTTTCAATGTGTGGCTCTCACTTTGGTAATCTTGAAATATGAAATAACTCAAAAGACAGAATGAACAGAGTATCCAAAAGGACATATGAAGACATACCATTAACACATCTTGTGTGATCTTGTCCAGCTCATACAAGAAGTTTGCAGATGACAATGGTTGCTGCAGAGAAAAAGAATATCTCTGTTACCATTAGATGGTCAAAAAGGCAGCATGACAGAGGATACTTCTACATCTCCTGAATATTGTACACTTGTAACAGTCTTACGCTCTGTGTAGACTGGTTAGGTGGGGGTGCTTTTCTTTTGAAAAGTGCGTCAGAAATGGCTTCATATGGAAGCGTGTCATCTTTCAGGATGGTGAAGAGAGGACTGTCCCATCGGTTTCTGGAATCTGGAGCTTCAAATCTCAGCACTAACGCATCAAGGCTATAAAAAAATTACAATCCAAAAACAAAAAATGGATTGAGTTATTTTTTTGACAATGACAGGCATAAAAGGTATTTTAAAGCCTATCCAAAAAGGTAAAGACTGCCCAACCAGAAAATGACATGCACCTCTACTGTGTGTATAGAGGCTTCTCACTCACATGTCTTGGGTGTACTGCTCAGCAGCATCTCTGTTGGTATTCCATGTTGAGCTCACTTCATCTGACGTCAAACAGTATACCTTCATTAAAAGAAAGCATGTGATTTTGACTTGTGTGATAAAAGTTTGGGTACTAGTTTTCTTAGATATTAAAACTCCGAGTTATTTCACTAGAATACTTACCAGGCAGTGTGGTGTCTGTGTGTGTTTGATGAGACAGAACAGTTCGTAGCGGTAGCCTGTAAGGTATTTCAACTTTAAACGTACATGAATAAATAAATGATAATGTCAGCATAGTATAATACTGTTAGCAAGATTTACCTTTTATGTAATTTAATGAATCCAAAATTACAATGTCATCCTTGTTGACTTTCCTACAGAACAAATAAATAAAGGTTAAAGGGTTGTGACAGTAGAACATTACCAGTGAATCTAATCCAAAAGCAGATCTGAAAAACCCACCTCTCTACTTCAGCTTTCAGAGATGCTCTGACATTTTTTTCCTTTTGGGAATCTGCAACATATATACATATCACATACATCAAGGTTAAATCATGGCAGGAGTGGGAATCCAGTCTTCTTTGTGACTGTTGTATTTATGATATCAAACAGAACAACAAAATATTTCTGCTTTCAATTAATCTGCTAATTGTTTTCTTCTTGATTAATCGATTCAGTTTGATTGTTAGATTTATAGAATTTAAGAAAATAGTGAAGATGGCCTTCACAATTTTCCAGACCAAAGTTGACATATTGCTATTTTAGTCCACTGAAAAACAGTGCAAAACCCAAAGATATTGAATTTCCTATCAGAGGGTACGAAAAACTGTACATTTTAACATCTGAGAAGTTGGAAACCATGAATTTCTTTTGCTTGCAGAACTATCAAAATTGTTGGTGATGTATTATATTCAATCAATTAATTGATTATTGAACTAGTTTTTATCTGATTTATATTTAAAAATTATCTTGGGAACCAAATGTAATACCCAAATATTTAAGCAATGTATAGTAGTATTACCTGTATGTAAAAGAAGTGAAAACACGATTTATGTATAGTATGTGAAGGGCAGGCTATGGTTTGATAAGAGCCTTTATCGCAGGACACTGATGACACTCGCACGCCAAACTCATTCAAAATAACGTTACCATTAAATGAACGCTGCCCAAAACGTTGATAAACGGTTATACTCCAGGCCCACGACTGAAAAACTATTAGCTTTCGGCATATTTTCAGTTTGTGGCACACCTAGTAACGATACAGAAAGAAGTCTATTTTAACAACAGGTTGTCTTTTTAGCAAACTGGTTCCCGTGTTATTACATTAACGTTACTCCCCTAAGTTAGTTAAATTAACGTAACGTTACGTTAGCATCAGTTCACCGCGAAAGTCTAACTTTAGTTAGCATGAAATACTGCGGTTGAATCAAAAATATGCAGCGTTTGGTGGATTGCTAACATGTAAGATGACTTTACAATCAGATTCTGAAAAAACTAGGAGCTACAAACACGTAATAATAAATGAAAGGAGACATGGCTAGCTTTACTTAACTTGCCTGCGTAAACAGTGTTTTTCTCAACGCCCAGGGCTCCTTCTCCCACAATATGAACCTTTCGGCAGTGTTCTGTTCAAAACACGCCTTCAGTTCTTCTGCCCTTCGTGTTTTGCCACTACAAGGGTAACCACACATCACTATTAGAGGCATACCTGCAGTTTTTTATCTAATATACTAACCGAAGATGTGAAAAGCATGTTGCAACTTTCACCCGGATATGGTTACTACTAACATCTTTTTACAACGACCAACAGAGGGCGCCACAGAGCCAACAGATTATACTGATTGAATATTTTAACTATTATGTAAAATACTTTGATTAATAGAAATGAAACACACAACTTCATTGCAGTATTTGCTCCTGTTTAATAAAATAAAAGAGAATATTTCAAACGACCAAAGAGTGAAAATCAGCAGAAAGATCTGACAACTGATCTGGCTTTCAGTACTAGTTTATTAACAGTTGGCACTACATAAAGACTAGGTTCAAATAATTGGACCACAAAACAAAGCAGTGCAGATTGGCATCACAGTGGCATATACAATGTAACATATCACATTTTTTACATGATTTTAAAACCCTCTTCATCAGTTGGATTTCATACTGTCACAGTAATGTGACAGTATTGGTTAAAATGTTCCTCAAGCAGGATCCCGTCCTCCTCTAAATGGATGGAAACAATAATCAGTTGTACAGTTCATTTAATATATCAATAATTAATAATAATAATAATAATAATAATAGTAATAATGCACTAACATGTCCAGTGCCTGATGTGGTTGTCTTTGTTGGGTAGTTTTCAACATCTGAATGAGCAGTGCCTGCAGGTCTTCCACTCGGTACAAAGGACTTACAGCTCTGACTTCAGTGGGAACATTTACATCTTCAAAGGCGGACTCCATAAAGGAACTATCCACAACACTCTTCTTGCCCATGAAATGCCCTTAATTAACACAAAATATAAATACATCTTAACATAAACTGTCAAAAATATGTGTATTTTTTAAAAAAAATCACTAAATTATCAAATTATCTGTCAGAATAGTATTATTTCTCTTACCTGTTGCCCACAGATTCCCCCTCGGATTCACTTTGATCTTTGAAACTTTATTTTTCAGCTCAGTTAAATCAAGACTCATTGAAGATGTCATGGAAATGTATAAGATAAGGATGAACGAAGACAGGAATCCTGCTCTGCAGATGTTTGCCAAAGTGCCTTTCATTCCTCAAACGTGTTCTATGCAATTTGGTGCTAGTTAATTAAAATCTCTGCTCTTCTGTAACTTTGAGGACAGGCTGTTATACTGACATAGGATGGGCTTAATATTCTAATGGTATGAAGTCATCCATCTGTGGTAGGTTTCTTATTGGATGAAGGAAGCACATTAGAGTGCCTATTGCCATTCTGACTTGGCTATGACGATTGTAAAGTACATGACCTCAATGCAAAACCTCTAATTATCACATCCAAGTGACACCCAGTATTATAGCGTGAGACAAAAGACAAAGCAGATATATAATTAAATGCACCAATTTATTTGTAAGTACTTGACGTAAACATTACAGCAAGGCACACGGGCCACTGCATGCTGAATAGATGTAATGGCTTAAGAAATGTTGTAAATCCAGGGTTCAGTGGCTACTGTATGTACACAGGTAACTTTCCTATACAAGTCCTCACTGTACACAGTATGAAAAGTACAAATATTTTTTAATGAGCATTACAAAAGAACAAGTTGTGAACATTCTTTTCAGCCTCTGCAGTTTGATATCTGCAGCATGGTGATTTAAGGACTAACAGAGAAACAAAGAGCTCAAAATAGAAAAGTTCACTTGCCATGTCAAGTCAATATGACCACATAGCCTTAATTTATTCCCAAAATAATTTATAAAATTTATTAATGTGGGATAATACACATTTCCTACATACATTTTTTACATTGCACTGAGATTACCTGTGACTCCTCAAAGCCTTTCTTCGTTCAACAATCACTGCCATTAACCATGGAGGTAGGAACTGTCACCGTTTTCAAAACATAACAAGAGGTGCCGATTTACAAATCAGGATCTGCGGACAAGAAGGACCCTTCATTATGAGCGCTGATCCAAGAAATGGCTTTTTTCATGGATTTACCCAATTCCTCCGATCCTACCAGTATTATTATTATGAGCAACTTCATGTAAAGAGGTCCTGATTTATAAAACATTATCTCCAACATGCCTCCAAACTTTATTCACTGTTACTGGATTACCCAAAACAATGTACCCTGATTTGACATAACCTCGACTGTTCATTTGTCTGAAAAATACACTTCTGGTAATTTGAGGTATTTTCAACACTGCGGCACCAAACATCTAATACCTCTCCATGTTTCCCCTGAACACTCATTCAAAAGAAAAAACAAAGAATAAAATGAAAAAAAGGCCAGATCTGGGACAACACATGCACCAACAAATCCCATTCAACAAACATAAAAACAAAAGCATTTCAGAATGCTTTAATAGTCAAAAGAAAGTCTTGTTATTTATGTGTAGCCTAACTTCAGCAGGCTTTGCTTAGATCTCAAAGGACAGTTTTTTCAGATAACTGTTTACCAAGAATGCAGAAATACGGCTTTTAAATGAAAATCGGACTATACCATGTTTTGTAATAAATGTAATAAAATTCTAGCTTTGTACTGCAAATTAATTGCAACACAGTCATTCCATAAAAACTGCAACCTGAATCCCATTCAGGTAATAGTGTGTAGCATTAAATACTTACTTATACAAAATTCAAGCAATTAAAATTACAGTTGATTACAAAGGTGAAAATCCACCCCTTCACTGTTATTCAGTTACACCAGACCTAAGAATTAACAGAGATTCCTGAGTCTCCTGTCAGGGTGGATGGAACATTTGAAAACAAAAAACAAACAAACAAAAAGACATAGAAAGAATGAAGGCAAGATAATTATATTACCGACATGCAAAGTTAAACAAAAACAATTGAAAAATGACTATGAATTTGTCCTCTCATTTATACTGCTCTTTAATGAATGTTGAGGATATGCTTGACTATACTGCATGACCTCTGAATAACTTGAGAAAAATGTCAAAATGAAAAAAGGCCCAAACACTTTGCACCACCTCCATGCAGAACATCAAACATCCCTTGTTACTTTCACATGAAAACTGAAGATATCAAAGCAGCTTTAAAGAGGTGTTGACTGTTGAGGTGGCTCTCACTACCGGAGAGAGACTGCGTGTGTCTGAGAGTGAGTGCGCAGTTTTAAATTACAGTCCGCGGTCTTGTCACAGCGCAGGCTTGCTGGCTCATCTGCCTCGGGTTCATTCAGCTCCAGTAACAAGTCATTCACCTCATCGGTATCTGCTGATCTAACTTGCTGATTATCCTGGTCCTTCTCTCTAACCTTTGCCTCCTTCACTTCCTCTTCTTCAGGATCTTTCACTTTGTGTACAATGAAAAGATGTCTGTTGAGAGACAGCACAGATGTGAAACACAGGCCACAGTGAAGGCACTGAGGAGTGTTTTCATCAGTTTTATGCTGTGGTATGTGCTGCTGGAACTGTGTACTGCTGTCTGTGATGAAACCACACTTTGAACAACGGAACTGCGTTTTAAGACGCTTCGCTGAAGGAGCCTCGAGACTGAAAGTGCCACCCCGCGCCTCCACCTGTGTGTCCACTGCATGTCTTTCTGATACAAGCCCCTGAAAATAACAGAAGTATTACTTACTATTACTATTGAGGTTCATAACATTTGGATTTGTGCCGGACGTTATTATGTTGTTTGTATTAAAACAAAAAAACAAACAACTACCTTGCTCAAATCCTTTTTTGATTCCTGGATGGCTGTTTTCGGCATTTGGCGAAGATCAGGATTTTTGATTCCATGCATTAGACCAATGTGGTTCTTCAACGTCACACTTGTCGTGAATGTTGTCTTGGTATCCATGCAATACCTCAAGTGAAAAAAAAACAAAAAACAAAATTATAGAAAATTCCTGGTTAATTTGACAAAACTCTAATGATGGTGACAACAGTGATTTGTACATTCTTAAACATAAAAATCTCACCAACAAGTGTAAATTTTCTTTTTTCCATCATGCTCATTGCGAATATGTCTTCTTAGACTGGTTGTAGAGTTGAAAGACTGCTCACAATGTCGACATGGATACTTCTTCACTGGCTGTTACATATAAATACGCAGTCATAAAAAGGCAGATACATATACAAAATGTGACAGTCTTCCAACTTCTACTGTACTTATTAACTTGTAATTATTTATATACAAGTAAAACATGTGCCATACTCAGCTATAAAGGGTAGTTTTAATCTGTAGTAAGAGGTCTCATAAAAAACAAAAGTAAAATCTAGAGGACCAAACTGAAGCAGTTAAACATATAATTTGGCAAACAGGGCAAAGCTTTAGCAAAACTCTTTTGGCTATAACCAGAATTTCATACCACAATTAAGAGCGCGGCTGTTTGTCTCATGCTAAAAGCTTCAGACCATGTAATCAATATGCACTCTGACCTCACTTTAGGACTCACAGTCCACAGAAACATTTCCTCATTTCAGCAGCACAGCTCATAAGGTGAAGGCTGAAAGGCAAGTAACTGGCCAAAGTGCATTAGATCAGGCCGACTAATCACAAATACCAACCAAAGTAATGGTCCATTTAATGTTAGCAAGTATGCAGGTAGGAAACGGCGAGTTTATTTTTAATTTATTGGTTCAATTATTTTATTTTTCCCAACCAGCAAAATTAAGTGTGCTAATTGTGAAACTGGAGGCCTTAATCAATGGTTGTACACATAGTAAAGAGGTTCACAGCATATAAGGCTTCTATACAGGAGGGATTTAAGCCCATTTCAGTCGTCTGGCTCACCTGGGTCTGAAGTAACGGATACGCTGCTTTCATAATCAATACATGCTGCTTATTGGCTCGCGTTCCACTTATGGTTAAAATATATACGCTATGAAGTGTATTCTATTATAATTGAGCAAAAATGCCACAAAAAACGCATATCATGTCATTAATGTGTTGGTTGAATGCATACATATTTCACCATAGGGAATTCATGATCTCCCACCTTTCCGTGGTTGGTCTTCACATGAGAAACATAGGATTCTCGTTCAGGGAACCACTGGAGGCAATCCCCACACGTCCAGCCGGTGGGCTTCACACGGGGTCTGCTGTCCTGATCAGCCTTTTTCCTGGGACTATCTTTGTGTGTAACTAGGCTGCGACTCTTCTGTTGTTGGACGGAATGAGCACCCTTGTACCAGTCAGCATCGTCTGTTTGTGTACTGCTCTTCTCTGTCTCTGCTGTCATGTTCCCGACATGAACGTCCTGCAAAACAGAAAAAAAAATTTGGTAACAAATATGAGACCTTATCCTCTCCTCGAGGTTAATGGTCACCTACAATGTGTTAGTTATTTAATACAGAGAACGCATCATTTAATAAACAATATTTAACTACTCTTTTGCCAGTACAGTGAAACAACAAGACTGACACTTATTAGTGTTGCTGGAATGTGTGACTTAATGAATTTCCATGTTGATTTGTCTGCATTGTGTGCATACCGTGGTTTGTAGATTAACAGAGCACAGCAAGATCTGAGCTTTGCTGGGCAAGTAAATTAATGACCCCAAATGTTCAGGTTAGATGTCACTTTTTGCACAGTTTTAACAGACAATTTTCATTGAAATAATGGAAATCAGTAACCAGTTGCTATTTGGTTTCATTATGCTTTAGTTTCAAGTATCAGATAAGTAACCAAGCTGGTAGCTAGGGATGAAATGGTATGAAAATTTCATATCACGATTATAGTGACCACAATTATCACAGTTATCAGTATTATCACGGTATTGTAAAAATGTGCCTAAAAAGATTAAAATTTACTGATACACACACTGAAACCATTTCAACAAGTTTTATATTGAAAACTACAAATACAATTGCCATTTTGTTTGCATAAAAAATAAAACATCACATACCTTTTGTAAACATATGAAAATCATCTAATTGTGCATTATCAAGATTTTATATTTTATAGGTAATACAATGACCCCATGGACAATTACATGAAAACAAATAAGTCTTTAGAAGACAGTGATAGTAACTGTAATGAGCCCAAAAACTAAGTACGGAGTACTGAGTCTGTAGCGTTTCTAGATATGCTGGTTGGTTGACTAAACTGCGTAACGTGTTATCATGTGCAGTGGACGAATAGATTCTGCTGACACACGACGCACACAGCAACGTTTTTACAAGAGCAGCAACACTGAGAGCTTCAGTTTACAACGCTGTTAGCAAGTCAGACAGACAAACCACAGCTATAAATTAACTCACCCACATTCACTATAAGGTTATTTTCTTCAAGTAAGTTTCCCTCAGCACTCTCATAAAAACTAAAATCCGACCGGAATTCAAAGTTACTGAAAAATCTCTGCAGCGTTGTCTTCCGCCATATTGTCATCGACCACAAAAAAAACTAAACACGTTGCATTCTGCACAATGCAGAAAAACTCCAAATACATGATAAAATCCAACCCACAAAGACATGCAGAATAGCTCACTTGCAGGGAGATAAAAAATGCTGTCTGGGCTAACCTTGAAGTGCTGCATTAACAGCTGCTTCTGTGGAAAGACGGAGTTGCATTCTGGACACTTGAATACACAGGTAACACGCATGTTGGCATTCTGATGGAAATGCTGAAACAGTAACGGCTTCTTCTTGAAAACTGTCTCACATGAACACTTAAATATTAACCTGCAAAAGAAAGAAAAAAAAAATTCAAATGAGCTGTAAAAACAAATGTGCAACTTTTAAGGTCATGAGATGTTAACTTACTGAGGGGATATTTTGCTGGCACTGTGTTTATTTTCTAAATGCACTTCACAGCCGTCAGAAGTCTTGAAAGCAACTGGACAGATGGAGCACTTGTAAAAGACCTCACAGTGTTTCTCCTCAATGTGAGTCTTTTGTCCTTCGAGGGTCTTGAAAACCATATCACAGTGAAGACATCTGAAAGAATATGAAAGTTAATGCCACCTTTCTGTAACACTGTACTGTATGTTTTTAGTAAGGCCTACTTTTAATGCTTGCTTACTTACTTGTACCAAGCCTTGCGAGCGTAGTGCAGACAGTTTTCCTTGACATGCTTCTGTATGTCTGCAGAACGACTCAGGGCCCCACACTCAGGACAGCAGTAAGGAGACTTGTGTGCGTGAATGCGTTCGTGAGCTCTGAAGCTACACTTGTTGGGTAACAACATTGAGCACACCTTACACGTCTGTTTTGTAAAAGAAAAAAAAGAGATACAAACATGGAAACTACATAAATACTGGTCACAGTGCCTTTACAGGGCAAGTGGTGATATTTAATATTTTTCTTATTGTCAACAAATCTCATGAAAGACTAAAATCAACAATGAATTGATCCTACAAACAGGTGTTCTCAGTACTAGCCAAAATCTGATATAGCATTTTCCTTATACAAACTCTTTTCAACTTCTGAGGGGGGACATGACAGAAAAAGTATGAGCCATTGGACTAACATATTGTTGGTTTTGGTCTTTTCACTGGATTGTTGGCTATAACAAAAATATAGAATATGCCCAGCTTTATCCCTCAAGTAAACACAACTCACCAGTCCTTCCACATCTTCTGACAGCCTCTGGTAATGGCCTGCAAGTGCTTTGTAGTCAGGTAACTGCTTGTTACACTCCAGGCAACGCAGTCGGTGACGAATGACATTGTCTGGATATAGGGGCAGGACAGGCTGGCTTTTAGGTGAGGGTAATGGTGAAGGGTTCACAGGTTCAGTACTCATGGGTACAAACATTTGTTCCACTGCTATGGGTTTCATATGGAGCTGTGTGCACTGCATCACCATGCCATTGTTCTTGTGTTCTCGTGCATGTGCCAACAAGGCACACTTGTTGAAGAACACCATCGTCTTTGCGCAGTGCATACATCCTACTTCAAAGTGGACACTCCTCCTGCTGTAATGATACGCAAGACTCCTCTCCACCACGAAGGAGTCCCCACACTCAAGGCAGCAGTATCCGCGCGGTGGAAGGCTGATATTGCTCTCTGGAGGGGGGTTGAGGTTGGGCACATATGTAGGCACAGGGTTGGCATTGTTCAACAGTCTGTTTAAGGTTCCCGCAGCGGTGTTGGGGACGGACGTGTGAGGAAAAGGTTTAGCTGTTTTGACCTGATGCACCAGTGGGACAGTGCTGTACACCATACAGGAGAGTGCGTGTTGGGTTTCTTGATGAGAAGTGGACCGTGCAGCTACTGAGGCGGCAACACTGTGAGGGACCAGGTTCAGACTGGCTAAGTGCATTGCTTTGGGAAGGAAGCTGGTGTTAGTTGTGTGGCCTGATGTGGATGATCCTCTCTTTGGTTTCTGCCCCTGATGTGCAACAGATCGTTTGACAGGACCACTAGTATTATGGAATATTGTTGTAGACTGCGTTAAGCCTGGCCTCCTGGCATTAGCCTCTGACTTCTTGTGTCTAACTTTCGGTGAGGATGAACTGGCTGGGGTAACTTTAGTTTGTAATCCAACAATACCATCAACAGCTGCACTTTGAGACTGATGAGGAGACATATTACAGTAAGAATCTTCACTAATCATACTCTGTGATGGAGAGGATTCATATGCAGAAGGAACATCATCTGTTTCGGAATCAGGCAACACACTGGTGACTGTGCGCTTGATCTGCCCAGACGTGGTTTTGATAGTCTTAATTCTGACCCTGGGTATGGCAGGGGGTGACCCAGATGCCACTGCAGGGGATGCTTTGCTACTACTATCACTGCAAATGCTTACAGGGCTATCAGAGGGCTTCGTTAACCGTTTCACAGCTTCAAATGGACTTCTGGGGCTTCGTGGGGATATAGTTACTTTGGGGCTTGCTTTCATGCTGTCATTCTGAACCGGATTATGCTCTCTGGGATCTTTTCTAGCATTCAAAGACACCAGAGCCTCAAGGCAAGAGGATAATTTAGATGTCTGAGATTTGACTTGTGGACAAGAAGTGGGAACATCCATTGGAGTTCCTGAATTACAGTTGGCCTCAAAGTTCTGGTTACCGCTTTGTGGGGGAAGTGCACTGTGTATTCTAGGTGTTTCATTCGTTTCGTTACTGACACAGACTTCAGAGTGTTCCTCGCTTCTACTACTTTCTTCTCTGCTCCTCTGAGTGTTCTTGGGAATATCAGAATCCTTTGGGCAGTCATCAAACATACTGAGATCCATGTTTTGGGGATTGTCTGGGATTGAACGTTCCACCAAAATTGAAGCTTCTGGGAAACAGGGTCTCTCTTGTTTCGGATGCATTTCATCTCTGCTACACTGAGTGTCTTCAGATTCAGGACTGGAGATGGGACTAAAATGAGAAAGTGACTGGGAAAATATTGGCGTTCCATCAGGTTTATGCTGAATAGGTGCCTTTCCAAGAAGCTCTCTTGAACTCTCCCCGTTCAAAGCAGAGACAAATGATTTGGAAAAGTCTGTGTTGGTTGTCTCAACAGAGTCAATGGAGGCGTCTTGTCCCCTGATTCCATTTTGCAATGCTGGTCCAAAACCTTCCAATGATTCCTGCCGTCTCGTGTTTTTCACAATAACACTTACAGCGGGAATATCTGCTGTTGTGTCAGCTTGGTTACTCAATAAGCTGTCATCCAGACATATCCCTGTGTGTTTAAGCGGGCTCTCTGTCTCCTCGTGACTCTCATGGATGGGCTCTTTGGCATCCAACCCTGTGGCATCTGGGATGTCAAAGGCAGCCAGAAGATCATCAAAATCTGGGGTTTTCATGTCACCCATGACTGCACAGGCTCATAAACCTACAGAAACACATACAGAGTTAGCTTAATATGTCATTTTTCAATTTACACAGTGGGTACTGCAGGCAGAGCTTACTGTTGTTGGCCTAAGGCAGCGTTTTACAATCCAAATAATAATGCTGCGTTCCAGTCAATGTTGGACCTCCAAGCATTCCAGGTGCACAATGCCAAACATTAACAAAGAACATGGCTGAACATGACAAACTGATGTTTGTTGTGTACACCCAATTGAACTCTCAGTAATGGCCTTGGTGTTACATAAAAAGTTAATGAAAACGAGACATAAATATACGTTATTCATTAACTGTGTTCCCGTCTAGCTACATCAGTAGGTAATCTGCAGAAGTTAGTAAATGTATATTTCTAATGTTTTCACTTTCCTGGGGGGAATTTAAATAACTTTAGTGCAGAAAAGATGATTTTCAGAGACAGTTTACTACAACCAGCTACCTCATAACATCGTTGATACATTCATCATGTTTTACTATATGATAGTATATATTATTTAAATTAAATACAGGCAAATATAGTTTACGTTGTCTTTTTGTTGATAGTTTACCATTTACAATATGTGCTTCCATGGGTGCTGCCATTGTTGCGTGACGTCAGACAATTGCTTCTTCATGAAGTCGGGGTAGATGGGTTTGCCCCGAGTTTACAAGTAGGAACTCCAACTTTGAGTAGCGTTGCATTGCACTTTTTCTAGTAGGATGTCGGAAATGTTCGAGTTCCGAGTTGTCTGAACATGTAACTGAAGCATGTAACTGTTTAGCAGCTGGGTGACGTCCTCTATGCTAACGTTAGCTTAATCTAGCAAGCTAAATATTAACAAGTCTGCTGGTCTTAGTCTGTGCAGCTACTATTTTGTACCAATGCGTGCATTAAGACACAAAATAAACACTTAATTATTCTACTATGGCCCTACCGTTATCAAATATCAACTCCTCCAAATGCGGAGCTACATTAAAGTTGTTTTGCTATTAGTGTAGCTAGCATAACATAGAAGCCAGCTAACAAGGTACAGTCAGCTAGACGAGTAACGTTAGCATTATGGAGCCAAGACGGCAAGTTAGCAATCTATCTTAGCAACATGCTATCGCGCAAATCATTTAGCCAACCTAGTAAACTCGTTACTTGTCGATGCAGTGCGCTTACCATTTGATCCGGTTATGTTTAACAACTCTAGTAAATTAGTTATACAGTCAGTTAACTGTTAGCGCTAAGTTTGCGCCAGCTAGGTTTGTCATTTGCAGGGTTTCGTAGCTAGGCTACAAGCTACTAGCGTTAACGTCGTAATCCTTTCCCTTACCTGGGCGATTCAAACCCTCGACGCTGTCTTACAGACGAGAGGCGGTGCCATGGACCACTTGAAAAGTTAATACTACACGTCCCTCAAGAGAAGGATGAAGATGTATTGTGGCTCAGCTGACTACAATACACAAAGGTTGGTATTAATGTATCTCTTAAGTATTCACACGTAGGGAGGGTATACATTGTACACAAGTGTCCATGGCATGGCTAGAACAATGCCCTGGACCATGCCAAGAACCTGAGGGCCCCTGGGGGTAACTAACCGCCCCATCTCCCCATTGTTACTGCTCAGCATTGTCTATTCCTTCTTACCTTGCTTTTCAGTTATAAGCTGGTACAAAATTATATTGATTGCTCATAAATAAATATATGTCTCAAATTCCAAGCTTTCTCTGTGGGTGTACTCCAGCAATTTAGTCTTGTACCTCCAATAATTTGGGAGACTCACATGACAAAACGAATGGCCAAAAACTGAAGCAGCAGAGGCTGCTACCCTGACTGTGTCCCTATAGCTCAAGCTTCGAAAACACTGGATCATACGGGTCCATCATACAAATGAATATATCATTAGATGCTCCCTGCCTGATAAAAGACTCAAGTCCAAATTAAATGAAATGATCAAAATGCCTTTTAATTAAGATTTTGTTACTCTGAATTATAAGATTTGGCCAGTGTTCCTCAGACACATTTCACATTCAACGTTACATTTACATTTACTCATTTGGCAGAAGCTTTTATCCAAAGCAATTTACATTTGAGCAACTCATACATGCACCAGTAAAAAAGAGATCTACAAGCAACAATAGGTGCTAGTAAGAGCTATTAATGCATATGGCATACATGGGATAAATACCTAGAGTTAACAAATAGTGCAATCAAGACAAGCAAATTGACACATTGTGTTGTGTGCTTATCATTACCAGTTGGATGTTGATGTGAACAGCAAAACAACTTGTGTATCCTTTGATATGCTCAGTGACCTTACATCCGTTCTGGCAGTCAGTGCTTTAATAGTGTTATGTTGATCCTTTTCAATTCATAATCAGGGTGTAAAAAAAAAAGAGGAAACCAGACATCCACTCCACTATTTGTTCATGTCAGTAGCCTGAATGTGCCATAAACCACATGACGTTAGGTGGCAAAGATAAGGTATTGTTTTACTGTTTGTTTTTAATACATGCACAGAGGATTTCCTGGCCAGCAGGATTGATACAGTGAGGATTTGCCATATGAAACAAAGTGGAATTGAATGGTGATAGATTATCAATGGAACTGGTACAATACATGCCAGTTTTCCATCATTTGGGAAATTCACAACTCATACTGTAATGTGGAACTGACAGTAAACTGTATCTTGCCCCAGTTTCGCAGTGGTAATCACACATTGTGGGCCATTAAGGGCAATTGTCACTTTAAATTGTTGTCTGTGATTCAGTGCCTCCTAGCCAAATGTCCTAGCCAAAGATCCATGACCTCAAGTCAGTTTGGACAGAGCATAGGCGTATGTTTTCAGTGAAGCTAGTTTGTTATATCCTGTAAGACAATATTGAGGGTATTAACACACAAAATTATCCCTTCCCGCTAGTCAGGCTGTAAAGTGATGACACCAATTCCAGTGAAGTTTACAGACACCCAGCCCTACAACACTTTGGTATCTGATTAAAAAGTAAAAAGCTTCACTAACTATACACCTAACAATGATGTAACAGGATCTAACAGATATGGGGAGTAGCAGTGACCATATATGTTTGTATAGTCAGTGGTTACAACAACGTAATGTTATTTGAGAGATGAAGCAATCATTTAGGAAGCTGATTTCTTTATGTATAGTTTTAATTTGGTAATGTTATTTGAGAGATGAAGCAAACATTTAGGAAGCTGATTTCTTTATGTATAGTTTTAATTTGTTAGTATGTGAATAGAAAATCATTCAAGGTATAAAGGTCAAGGTAGTTTATTTTACAATTGTATAACACAAGGTTGTACAACAAAATGAAAGTTTGGATTCCTTATGTGATGGCTGTATTTCTGTCGTGTAATATCTGTTTCAGCAATAAAGCCAAAAAGGAAAAAAACAGATTAAAAACAAAGGTGTAATGAAGTTTAAGGGAGCTGAAGGCCACAGCATCTACATGCAATTCTTAGCCTAAATAAGATTAATGGTGAGATGCTGCATACATTTAGTTTAAAATTTCATAAATTAGTTTTGTGTTGTATACATTAAAATCATCCTTCAAGTGTGTTTTGTCAGTCACAGCTTTGACTGTCACATTTAAATGGTCAAATTGAGTTGGTTGGCAAACAAGTTGATGGTGTACATAAAAAGAATGGCTTGGTTTATTGAACCAAGGCAATTATGCTACAAAATCTGTCATTAGGTCATTAACCTCTGCTAATGAATTTCAGGGTCTGCAAGGCTTTCTGAAAACGTAGCAAACACAAATATCATGTACTTTAAAAACAAGATTTAATGTTTATCATATCCATTCAGACAGACTGAGCCCTCATTGAGTGTTATGAACCATGGACAAACGCCATTTCATGGGGAATTAGAGTTTATTTTCTGTACGACAAGATCAAATTTAAACAGCAGCGAGGAGAGCAAATAGCTGCCATTACATCCCATCATGAATCATCACCCTGGAAGTAAAGTACAAATTGCACTGTAATATATTTAATGGTCCAGATAACAGCTTTAACTGATTTGGAGGCTATCTGATTTGGAGGCTATCTGATTCTACAGCGAATACTCAGCATACAAAACAATCGTTTAAAGAGATGAGATTCTGTCATAAAAATACAAGTTAATTTGACATTATTTGTATATCACAGCACACATACAGTTAGCATTTAACTTCAGAGTTATATACAGTAGTATATAGTAGGCGTAGTTCACATACTTACCTTTATCAGAGTAATGTGTGCTACAATTATAGGATAACTAGTTCTTTATATTCTAACCATGTAAAATCGGTTTATTCACTGTAGCCTGTTTGATATTTGTGAAGGGTCATCAGCCACAAACAAACAGCATTTATAATTTATAGTAAAACATACCTGTGTGTCTGTCTATATGAGAGCTACTTACATTTTGATCTAAAGGGAAGTAAATCCACCATAATCTAAATGTTTTTTTTTTATTTCAAGATGCTATTTTAGAAAGTTAATAGAATAATAAAATTAGAGAAGAAAGAAAAGAAAAAACGCAATCCGTCATGTTGATGATTCACATGCTTCTGAGAAATGTATTTTTAGTTAATGTTATTTACAAATACAAAAGGACATGACCTATTATGACTTACGTAAAACATAGGTGGAGCACAGCCTCCTTCATGATAAATTCACTATGTATTCCCCTGTATTATCACATATCAGTTTAATAAGCTCAAGGTCAGACACAATTCATATCTGTTGCTCCAGTGATTTGGCGAACTTAGTCAACATCACTTATGATCAAATGTTGCTTCATAAAAGGCCATTAAATCATTTGTGTTGCATTATCACAAGTATGCCTCTGTCCCATACTTCCTGAGACAGATCAGAGCAGTGCCTAACATGTCTGTTAATTAATAATAAGGTGTTTCATAGAGGGCAGAGTATATTTTCCGCAGCGGGAAAGTTAGTCGCACAGCATTTGACACCCGGGTTGAGGAGGACACACAATGAGTAAGCCATTAGCTCTGCTTTTCCTTGAATTAAGCAATGTGTTTTGCAGTTGTGAACGGCTATTTTTGTGTGCAAGATATGCCACGAGGACTTGTGTGTGGACTTGTTTAAGGTTCTTTTATCTCACAGAGTACATGGACACACAGTTTGTTACTTGTTTGACTGTTTGTTAAGTGGAAGTTGCTTTATCAAAGCTGCTGCATAGAAGTGAACAATGTTTGTGTTTTTCAGCGGAAACCAACGGTGTCCAGGACAAAAATATAGCGCACACCAATGGAAATGGCGTGGACAACCAGGCTTTTGAAATAGAGGTACGTATCACATTTTATTTTTAAAGAAAATGGCAAAACATGAGTGTTTAAAAAATATAATAAAATGCCTTTCTTTTCTTAGGAGGACAACATTACTGATACTAGCAGCATCAAAAGGCAGTCTAGAAAGACTAAAAAGGGATTAGGATCATATTTAAGGTGTGGCAGTTCAAGTTATTGCATTTTGTAAAACAAAAATAATAATTGTTTTATAGGGAGGGCAATACTTCTGGGTGCAGTTATCACAGCAGGTGCAATGTTGATTTTGTTTATACTGTGTGTAATTGTACAGTACCGTTTGTACATAATTAACATACAGACAACAAAAAATATGTGCAACTGACTTCTCTGCTACTCTAAACTTTAAGACTGTTAAGATTTGATTGTAACAACAACTTTTGGAGAAATCAATGCCAGAATATTGAATTATATAATTATGTCTAAGACAACATTTTTTCATTCGCTCAAAAGAAGTATATTTTGTACACTTACTTCTAATTTGTCCTGTACATCAGCCATGTTTCCAAGCCGATTAACGCCACAGAGGATTACATCAAGGCTCATTCAAAAACATTCAAATACATTGTGCTGGGCATACTCGGAGCAGGTAATATTAAAAGCCTTTTCAATCTGTTCATTTGCGTTAGCAATTTACAATCAATTGTTGATATATTTTCATGATATATTTTAGAAGACTATTGCAAGACAGGAATAAGCATATAGACCATGATTTTTGCTCTCTTCTCTTCTGTAGGTTATGTGGCATACTTCATTGCAGCCTGTGTATTGGATTTCCAGAGGGCTATCGCACTTGTAGTCCTAACTAGTTTGGCTGTTATTATTAAATCCTATGAACTTTTGAAGGAGTACAAGGGGAAAAGCATCAGTCGGTGTTTCAGACCCGCAGTTAGATGCTTTAAATCTAACTTGAAATGGATAAAATGGTGTGTGGACTTTCATGTTTTAAGTGGTTTTGTCCTCGTCTGAATGCTAACGAGCTACGCATTATGGAATCTGTTCAGGAGCAAAG